GGCCCTAGATAATTCAGAATTGTAGTATTTCACTCATCTGCATCCGGTCGAGTTTGAACCCAGGTCTGTATTTCAACAGTTCAGTTGAGGGGTGTACCAACTGAGCTAGGGCAGTTGGTACCGCCACATTTCCCAAGTCGTTCTCTATCAGTTCTCTCATCATGTCTTGACCCACACACACTTACTTGGCCCATCTATTCTGGCCGGCCACAGACCGGTGTTACTTCTGTGTCACCTTGAGTGAATTTGGGGGAAGCTGACGACAACCGTCCTCATCCAAGTAGAACGCAGTTATTACAGCTGCATTTGGACTATAATTGCACCGAATGCAGTCAGTCTGGTTTGATTGTGCAACTGAGGGAGATGCATGCTGTTGACAAGTGTTGTCCTCCAAATAGAATGCATGGTCATTATCGCTGCATTTGGTGTAACTTTCAGTCCAGATGCAGCGAAAGTGATGGCACGTTCTATTCGGGTTATAAGACGGTAGCTTGTTGCACAGTTGGTTGTATATTTTGCTTCCTGTTCTGAAACCAGCAGCGCAGTGCTGCTCCTTTATTATCTTTTTTTTTTCCCATAAAAACATGTCCTTACGGTCCTGGCTCCATATCCATTCTGTGGAGCGTCAGTCCGGTTACTCTCTTTTTTTTTCTTTGCGGTGAGAGACTACGTACTTGTATTTGAACATGTGCGTGCGCACGCACATGTTGGAATACAAGTACAATCCAGCGGCCTAGCTCAGTTGGTAAGGCACGCAAGTGGCATTCAGGAGGTCTTGGGTTCAATCCCCATTGGCCTCATGTACCTTCCTGGGCAAGCTTGGTGCCCGCCACCTAGAGATATGCCGTTGGTCCCCCCGAGTGGCATTGAGCAGAGACTGCTGATGCTCATAGGGGGAGGGGACCGGAGGGGAGGCACAGTGACTGGCCCATCGAAGAAGCTCGGTCCTGATGCTACCGGCTGACCCCTGGCCGGTATCGCCCACCTGCTGTAGCAGGTATCACACCTGCTGGTGGGTGCAGCTCCTGCATGTTCCCTCCTTGGAGGCTTGAGCACAGATGTGGCTGCTACGGGGTTCTCTGTAATACTATAATGACAATAAAAAAGGCCTGAAATACCGTCCTGTCCAGATTTGACAGGTAATTGAATTGGTTGGGCTTAAAAGAATTAGCCTTAAAAAAAAAAAAAAAAAAAGAATACAAGTGCATCAGTCCTGTTACTATTCCCCCGGCAAGTCAAAATAATAAGATACATCAAATATACACATTCATCCTTCCGTTCGGCGGAAGGATCCCGGACCAGCATTGATTGCTCCGTATCACAGGAGGATTGACAGCTTGCCCTTGAAACCCTTCTCATGTATTCTCCTCTCAGGTGCGATCTGTTGACTTATCAGCTTTCAATTGGCTATTCACATCAAGAAACACATCAGTGGATGAGGGGAAGAGACAGCATGTTGCAACAAAAACTCAAGCACGGAAGTAGGAGAGGAAGAAAGGATGCCTTCTCGTGTTTCTTTATGTGAATTGCCAATCCTCCTTGAGTATCTGATTTGTTTTTTCTTTTTTTTTTCGCTGCAGGAAGTGGATGTTCTCTCTCGTATACATCACCGAAATCTCCTCCGCTTCCTTGGGTGTTGTGTGCGCCCTGGCAGTGAGGCCATCGTCTTTGAGAGCACCGGCTATGGCACGCTCTACGAGGCACTCCATGGTATGTCTTCCCATCTTTCTTTTAATTATGCCCATTTCTCATCTTTGTTTATGCAGAACTGTACCATCTATATGGAGCCCAACTGTACTACATCTATGGAGCCAAACTGTACTATGCTATGTCTTCGCCACTGTACTTCACAAGTCTATGGCGCTTTGTGCCTACCTTAACCCTTGTCTGGTATTCATGATGTATCATGCGCACAAGTGGTTAATGGGGACCCCCACTTTTAAATGACCCTTGGGATTTGTTATAAATGGCATGAGAAGTTGTTGCCTGAGAATCAAAGCCTCCGTTAACCGCCTCTCACGAGCCGACTTGCGCTCGGGGGTTACGACGTTCTTCTGGCAGACTTCTGGTGTTGTCTCCTCTCCCTTGTTCCTACTTCGTCTTCGCCGTGATTTTTCCTTTTTGGGATGGTTTGCAGCTGTGGCTATTATGTGTGATATCTTCATCTCATTGCTGTACTACTTCTCTGGAAAGCCCCAACTGTCCTACGTCCATTTCTGGCAATACATGGTACACCTTCTCATCTCTCTCTGTTTTGTTTATGCCCAACTGTACTGTGTCTATGGAGCTGAGCCGTATGAAAAGGAAATTTTCAAGTTCGGTTCGATTGCACGAATAAGAAAAAAGAATGCACTGTGTCTATGGAGCCCAGCTGTACTATGTCTATGGAGCGCAGCTGTGCTATGTGGATAGCCATGTCAAAGTGCACTTCGTCTCTGTTTAGTCTGCTTGAGCCCAACTGTACTATGTCCATATCCATTTTCAAGAGGACTTAGTCTCTCTGGTTTTGCTACTTAGCATACTTGCGGCGCATCCCGTGCGCGCCACTCGCGCACATGCGGCGCACTGCGCATTGCACACGTGGCGCGTGAACCCCGTGCGCCGCGTGGGCAAAATTCGGGGTCAGCCAAAAAAAAAAAAAGTTGGGGAGGGGGTGAATGGAAGTTCCCACGCCCACAGCCAAAATTAGGACATTGCCCGCGCAAACTTTTTTCAGGGCCGCGCGGCCCCAAAAACAGTGTGTGTTGTCATGTTTGCTGTACACAACTCCATGCTATCTTCAGTGTATCTGAGCCCTTTCAGAGGTCCAATACGGTCATGATGAGGACACGTCTGTGGAACCGTTGCTTTCGTCTCATTACTTCCAGATATAGAAAACGACAGAACTGACAGTTGTGTCTCCTTGGTGCTTTCGCTATAAAAAAAAAAACAGAGAGAAAGAGAACGTCCGTGACAAGTTGAAAACCAACAACGTGGAAACATGCAGACGCTATACACATGCACAAATGACAAAAAATATGGCGATGTATCTTTCCATGTTCTAGCGAAAAATTCATTCTACTTTTGCACAAATTGGAGAGTAGTCCAGTGAGGCCCTATTACAACTTACCTGCCGCCAGAATCCATCGGGCCTCTCTCAACTACACACGTCCGTTATAGTGCCTCTGTCACATGAGGGCTGCAAGTAAGGTTCAAGTCCAGCTGTAGTCTGGTGCGATGCAAGGGCCTCGCTCCACTACTCATGCACAAAAGACAAAAAATATGGAGGTGTATCTTTCCATGTTCTAGCGGAGGATTCATTCTCATTTTGCACATTTGGAGAGTGGTGGAGCGAGGTGTATGGCCCTCACTCCACCACTCTCCAAATGTGCAAAGTGAGAATGAATCTTCCGCTAGAACATGGGACGATCCACCGCCATGATTTTGGTCTTTTGTGCATGTGGAGAGCACTGAAGTAAACAGGCTATAACCATTTCCCAAATAAGACAAAAAAGAAAAGAAAAGAAAAAAAGGAAAAGCAACGGGCCTATCGGGCTGAACAAAACGTCCTCCGTCGAGAATCCATAGTGTCCATTGATACAGGCGTTTTGTTCGGTCCGAGTCAGGAGAATGGTGTCGTGGCACACCAGACAAACGCCTGTATCAATGGCACACACACACACACACACACACACACGCACACGCACACGCACGCACACACACAAAAAAGACAGCAAAAAACAAAGAAGGCACATCTGCAGGTGTGCGGGCATGGGGGTCACTCGGCCGCACTCCAGCGCACTGCCCGTGCGCTCGGTGCGCACATGCGCACACATCACCCGTGAGTGCGTGGTGCATGGTACAGCGCACTGCACAGTGGCGCAAGTATGCTACTTAGTCCACTTGTGTCTGTCTAGAGTGCCCTACATAGTCTATTTGTGTCTACTTGTGTCTGTCTAGAGTGTCCTACATAGTCTATTTGTGCATAGTCTATAGTGCTTAGTCTTTGGTTTGGCTACTTAGTCCATTTGTGCTTGTTGGTTTTGCTACTTAGTATATTTGTGTCTGTTAAGAGTGCCCTGCTTACTAAGTCTATTTATGCCTGTCTAGTGTGCTTAGTCTTTGGTTTGGCTACTGACTCCATTTTTGTCCGTCTAGAGTGTTTAGTCTCTTTTATACTTCAGTGCAGGGTTGCACCCCTAACACCACCAACACCCCCAATACCCCCATACACCCCCTCAAACCGCCCCCAACACCCTCATTACCCCCCCCCAAGTACCCCCTATATCACCCCTAAACACCCCTATACCCCCCCCTTAACCCCAACCACTCCATACTCCCCGCCATCCTCAAGAGTTTCTCAGTGGATTTGGGCTGTACTCAGCAAGTGCAGTACAGCCCCCAACTCAGATTTGAAAAAAAATCAGTGGATTTTTTTATTATTATTTTTTTAATTGGTCGGCAGACCGCCGACCGGTCGGCCCAACTGGTCAGCTGCAATACGGTCGGCGGTCGGGGTCGGCAGTCGGCAGGGATGCAACCCTGCTTTAGTGGAACCCAACTGTACAATGGACTAAATGGACTAAATGGACTAAATGGACGGGTTCTGCTACTTAGTCTATTTGTGCTTGTCTGGAATCCCCTACTTACTACTTAGTCTATTTGTCTATTTGTGTGTGTCTAGAATGCCCTACTTAACTCTATTGTGTCTGTCTAGACCATGGTAACCATCCGGACGTCCGGACCGGGTTCCAGACAGTCCGGTGTCCGGTCCTTATGTCCGGATGGAGGCCCCTGGGGCAAAAATCAGCCCAGGACGTTTATTGGGTCCTGGCCACCCCTCGAAAAATAACGGGGTGATTTTTCAGTGTTGTTTCACCCCACCTGACAGGGCCTAGACGTCCCGACACAAGACACTGCAGGTTTTTGGGGTGGCGGGTTTCACACAGCCCCGGGCAATTTCAAAGCAACTGTTTCGACGTGGTGCCCGCCACTGCTGCCCGTTGGGGAGAGAGAGAGAGAGAGAGAGAGAGAGAGAGAGAGAGCACTGACAGTGCTGCCAGTCTGAAGACTCTGACGTTCTGAATTGAACTGCAAAGTTTGACCTTTTAAGTTATATATGAAGTTATGAACTTAAATAAGTTAAATTACTAAATCCAAAGTTCAAAGTTCAAAGTTAATCATACTTCTTTCAAAAAAAAAAATTCTGCCTCTTTAGTCTTGTGCCTGCTTTGCAGTGTTTTGCACTGTTTGCAACTCTGCATGTCTGCTAGTTAAATGTGCTTGTTGATTCGCTGCAAGACATGTGCTCTGTTGCCTGAACTACAAGGTGCGTAAGTGCCTGCCAACACCCCCCCCCCCCCCCCCCCTCCCGTCCCCCCCGTATTTTTTTTTCCCCCGGACATTTTTGCACCCCCGGCACCGGTCCGGACTGTCCGGGTCTGGTGATGTTCGGATCACCGGACAGTCAAGACCGGTCCAGACACTGGTCCGGAAGACAGTCCGGAAGTGTCCGGTGTCCGGGTCCGGGGTTACCATGGTCTAGACTGCTTAGTCTGTTTAATACTTTGTCTTAGGTCATGTCCACAGCCATGTCCAAGAGGTATGGATCCCAGCTGTACTATTTCTTTGGATTGTGACTGTACAGTGTCTATGGAGCGCAACTGTACTATGTGGATTGCTATGTCAAAGTGCACTTATACTCTGTTTAACCAACTCGAGCCCAACTGTATTATGTCCACGGCCATGTCCAAGAGACCTTAGGGCCAGATCCCACTGGAAAAGTCCAACTGTATTATGTCCACGGCCATGTCCAAGAGACCTTAGGGCCAGATCCCACTGGAAAAGTGGATTGGAGTAAGTGTCTGAATGTGGACGTGTTCCACGCAGAGATGCAGAAAAGCAGATCAATCAAAATTTTTTGCACCTCTCAACAAACACGTCCAGATTCAGACACTTATTCCAATCCTCTTTGCCAGTGGGATCTCGCCCTTAGGCTCTGGTTCTGCTACTTGGTCTATTTGTGTTTGTCTGGAATCCCCTACTTACTACTTAGTCTATTTGTGTCTGTCTAAACTGCTTAGTTGTGTCTGTCTAGAATGCCCTACTTAAGTCTATTGTGTTTGTCTAGACTGCTTAGTCTGTTTAACGCTTTGTCTTAGCTCATATCCACAGCCATGTCCAAGAGGACGTAGTCTCTGGTTTTGCTACTCAGTCAATTTGTGTCTGTCTAGAGTGCCCTACTTAGTCTATTTGTGTCAGCCTAGAGTGTGTAGTCTCCTACTTACTACTTAGTCTATTTGTGTCTGTCTAGAGTGCTTTGTTGTGTCTGTCTAGAATGCCCTACTTAAACCGCAAGTACACGGCCTTAGCCTTGCAGAAAGTTTTTGTCGCCACAAGCAACACTCGGAGGGGTCGCGCGGCGTGGGGCGCCGTTAAAAAAGAAAAATTGACGGCCTCCGAAGTAGTGCGGGTCGCGTGCTGACGCCCGCGGGCCAATAGGTGGTGTACTGGTGCTTTAAGTCTATTGTGTCTGTCTAGACGGCTTAGTCTGTTTAATACTTTGTCTTAGGTCATGTCCACAGCCATGTCCAAGAGGACGTAGTCTATGGTTTTGCTACTTAGTCAATTTGTGTCTGTCTATGTCGCCCTACTTAGTCTATTTGTGTCTGCCTAGAGTGCTTAGTTGTTTCTGTCTAGACTGCCCTGCTTAGTCTATTTGTGTCTGTCTATAGAGTGCCTAATCTGTTTAGTATGCTTTATCTTAGGGTACGTCGTGTATTTGGGTCTGTCTGTGGTGCTTAGTCTGTTAATACTTTGGTCTATTTAGGGGTGCTGCGTAGTCTGTTATACTTCATCTGTACAGGGTGCAGACCCTGTTTGTAGCTGGTCTGTTTCGGTCTCTATACAGACTATTTGTAATTCGTCTGTTTAGGGTGTCTATACTTAAGTGAAATGAGCCAAGTACTCGTCAAGTTCAACCTCGCATACATCAATGAACATTCACATGAGAGGTCACACATGAGAAGCCAAATCGAGATACAATCAACACTTGAAGATGTCGTCTCCAATATTATTATCAATATACAAGAATGTTTGTCTCCAGCGGCTCTGCCGCTCACACACACACAATGGATCTTAATCAGGTGGCGGCTATAACCTCTCTCCCTTCTCTCTCCAGCGGCTCTGCCGCTCACACACACACAATGGATCTTAATCAGGTGGCGGCTATGACCTCTCTCCCTTCTCTCTCCCTCTCTCTCGTCTTGCTTCTCTCTCTGACTTCTCTCTCTCTCTCTCTCTCTCTCTCTCTCTC